ATCTACCTATTATCTAAGTTTTTCGATTCTGTCTCTTTTCGATTCTGTCGTAGAGAGTTTGTTTCTTTTGAGGATTCTGTAGCGAAGAAGGTTCTCGCAGACTTTTGCTTAAACCAGGGACTTGTACCGGCTCTGGTTTAATTGCCTTTTAATGAAATTGATCGGTTGTGAACAAAAAAAAAAAAAGATCCACTATACCATTGCAGAATATATGCGATGGATCTTTGTAAATCATTTTGTGTTACATACTGTTTAAATAATGTACTCGTTTGTGAAAAAAAAATTAGTGAATCTTCTACCAGGTATGCATATCACAATCTAGATTTTTTTTTGTGATTTTGGATAATTGCAAATAAAATGTTTTTTTCCTTACATTGTGTTTTTGTAGAAAATATATTATACTACAAATTACTCCAGTTTTATATTGAAAGAAAAAGTCAGTATTTAAACCTCTTTGTAACGGTATTGCAGGAAAAACAATCTGAAAGAAGTAAATTATAAAAACAAACATTCTGTCTATATAATAATTAAAAAACCACCAATGATAATGGAATGAAACAAGAGGGGAGAACAAACAGCTATAATGAGTTTGTGGGCGACGATTGTCTAAGCTTTTGGCTTTGTCTATTTATTATCTTATCCAATCATATTCCATGGGTTCCCCCTCGTGGCATCTGAAATTAGTATTCATTTTTTGAAAAAAAATGTTATATTTGTTCTGAATAACACATTTTCCTTTTTACCAAGTTATTTCCCAAGCAGCACCCAAATTCTAATCAGTCATTCATAGGCTTCCCATATCGCAGGTTATTTTTTTTTTGCTGAAATTCCCATATTGCAGTAAAGCACATTTAACACTAAGTATAGAAAATAAACATATTGTTTGGATAACATTTTTTAAAGAAAACGAGCATAAGCTTAGCTGATCACAAGATTTGAGCGTTTAAGTACATTTCTAATTCCAATCCATTGATCATTTTTAAAATAAGAGTATTTTTTTAATATATTCTTCTATTTTCTTTCATTTGAAATGGGCTAATTCTATATTGGAATTGGGATTTTACTTTAATCTACTCCACTTTAGAGTTAATAGATAAACAAATAAATGCAAATAAAGAAGTAAATATATTTTTTCTCCATTATAGAGTGGAAGTATAATAACTCGAGTATTCTTACTATAAATTTCATTTTAGAGAGAAAAACCAAATGAGAATTGAGATCCTTAACAATGTTTAACTTTCTTCTATTCTTCATAATAGAGTAAAAATGAGTTTTATTTATAAATGGACTATTGCATTTATTTTTTTAAATTGCTTAAAATACCATAAATTGAATATCATTTTCCAAAACGGCACTCAATCAAAAATACTATAACATTTGGATTTATGATTTAGTGATATTGTTTAGGGTTTATTACGTAAGGGGCGGGATTGAATATATAAACCTCTATAAATCTTTTATAAGTTATTTTAAAATATCTATATATGATTTGTGGAAATTAAGGTAATATTTTATCACAAATTTAAAGTAGTTATGGAAATGATTATACTTTAAGGGTAAAATTGTATGTATGATCATACTTGCGGTAAAATTAAACTTTCCCATATATTTTTTGTTTATTATTTCATTTTCACTCCAAAACAAAAATGGTGATATGTAACCTCAACTTCACAATGCAATTACTCCATTTTGAAGAAAAAAAGTAAAAGATGATTAAGCTTTATTTCTCACAACCATAAATAAGGTGGGTCATAGTATATTCTTGTTAACTTATTTATTTCCTATAGTAGTATATATTTACTTAAGAGCAATGTTTTAAAAAAAACGAACCAGAACTAAATCAGATCATTATTTAGATTCCAATTTAATATGATTTGTTGGGGTTTAACCTTGTACACATTTTTATTCATATGTTAATTTTAACATATAAATTTAAAATCACTATAGTGGTTTGTCCAAGTTTAACCTGGTTATTTTTATCTATGCGTTAATTTTTAATATATATAAATTTTAAAATAATTATAGGAAATATGATATACTTTAAAATATGACAAAATATCAAATATGAAACATTAGAAATATTAACTAGCTTTGTGTTCATTCGATCCATAATTTTTTGACAGTTTTATTGATTTTTGTCTTCAATAAGTTTTTTTTTTGGTCAATAAGTTTAAGATCCAATCCGACCATGTAATTGGTTCACTGTCGAACTTGATCCAACCATTGTCTCCGTCCGACCAGTTTGATAATTCTCATACCCGACCAAATATATTATAATTCCAATACAAAATATATATATATATATATATATATATATATATATTTTTTTTAACTTTGATCAACTGGCTAAACAATAGAGACTATTGCAGCTGAATAAACATTCACATAAGTTTTTTGCCAACTTATACTATTTTCAATGTATTTTGTTATTTTCACCTCTAAAATAGATCAATTCTATAATAGAGATGAGATATGTTTTAATGTATTTCTCTAAAATAACAATCTCTAAATATAGAGTAAAAAAAAGATAATGTTATTTTTCCTCTATAAATAGATGAAAAATAAAGATCTCTATTATAGAAGAAAAAATAGAGGTGGATTGAAGCAATTTCACCTCTAAATGCTATTATAGAGATGAAAATAGCAATGAGTTGAAGATGCTCTTACCACATTTTCAGTTGAGATATATAGGGCATTTTAAATACACTTTAAAACACTTTAAAAAGAAATACACTATAAAAACACTAATCTTAAAATATAAACGTATGCCCATATATATAGAGATGTGTAAAATTGTGGAAGCACAACGAGGGAATCATGGGTCTATTCTTCTATTCTGTAATGTATAAGCTAGGAAATTATTCTGAAGAGCGCATCTATTCTTTGCTTCCAAAAAAGAAAAAGTTTGTTTTCCCTTAAAGTAGTTAGTTTTAAAAAAGTTCAAAAGTGTGAAACTTTCTAAAGGTTTTAATGGCATACATAAATAAATGAATATATATATATATATATATATATATGTGTGTGTGTGTGTGTTTGTGTGTGTTTATTGCTCAAAAATGCTCTAGCAACTAGCAATAAATTAGAGAAATAGAAAGAAATTTATTGTTACAAGTATATTACTTGTATATAGCATATTAATCACTAACAGAGCAAGAAAATAAGGTGTATATTGAATAATCACATGTCTTTACGAAAAACATACATTAGCATGTCTTATATATGGAGGTGTCTGTTTGTTTTTGGTTATATTGATGGTAGACAAACTAATAAATTTCAACATTGTTATCGGGTTTCTATTACTTTCTCAGTTTTTTCTACTTCCATTTCTTTCTACTTTATGTTTTGGACTTATATACACAATTTTTTAAAAAAATTAATATCTATATTTTAAACAAAAAAATATATTAACTATATACATAATCATATTTTAACTGATAAAAAAACTACACAGTAAAAATTTCATATAGCATAGAAAATTACTAAATTTTATATTAAAATTTGAAAACAATATCTAGTTTGAGACAAAAGAAATATTCTAAAATGTTACCAATTAAAAATGGAGGGAGTACTATAAAATACTGTGGAGTTTAATTAGCAATAATGTGACCTTCAATTCTTATCAAATACTTTGGTTGCAATTAATTTTGTAGTCACTCTAACCTAAATTACTATATTTATTATAAAATTTGTGTTATGATTCAAGTTCAGACTTTATATAATTATTACGATCAAATGGCCGGTGAGCAACTAAAAAAATGTTAAATTTTATATGGTACATTTGAATTCTACTCTCAAATAAAATTAATATTAATATTTATTTTATTCTAGTTGTAATTACTATATATTTTAATGTTTGTTACCTTTATTATAAATGTAAGCAAAAAAAAATATTCTAAATTGCGGTTATAATTAAACACATAATTTTTTGATTGTTTTCCTTTTATACCTATGTTGTTGAATTTATTAATACTATTATTTTCCGTCGTACATTTTTCACATAATGGTTAAATAATATAAAAGATTGTTCCACAATGAGATGTAGTGGTGCAGTTTACCTATTTCTCTTCAATTAAATACATATGATTCAAATTTAAAAATACTTTCAACTCATTTTAGGATTAAAAATTAGAATTGTAATAAATCATATTTGGTAATATAAGATTTGAAATATAAGAAAATCAAAACTTTAATAGACTTCATAATATTTATTAACTAACCTTCCTACATAACGTAAAGAGAAACTTTCATCTAGTGCTATTTAAACTGACGTTTGATGTACAATTTTCAATGAGATTCAAGAGTGTATTCAAGGGTACACCATCTGGTTCTGCTTGGTTGAGCTAAGCACAATGATGACTATCTCAGTTATATATATAAGTGAAAGTCATATGAAAAACTATCCACAATTAAATTTTCAAATTAATTGATCAGCTCAAACTTTGGACAAAAATAACACCTGGTTATAAAAAAAATATCTATAAAGAAAAACAATTTAAATAAGCAACATAGCTGATAAATAGTATTTTCTTTGTTTTAATTTAGTTTATTTTATAGATTTTTCACACATAAAGAAAATATGTCAATAAATATATTTTTTGTGAATAGCTATTTCCTATAATTTTTAACCAATCAAAATTCAATAAACACAATTAATATCATAGAAATTTACAGTTAACCTTTATTATATGCATTGAAAATATGGAATATGTATCTTTTAGAAATAAAATATTTTTCTTGTTTCTGTTGTTAAAAAAAAAAGAAATAAAATATTTTTTAAAAATATGAATTATATTGAAACAGATGGAGTATATTGTTTGCTATTTCACATTCTGACAACATGATACTCATACTGATAGTTAGCATATTCAATATATATTACAAACAAAAATGATTAATCCATAAAACCTACTTTTTAGCGGTTTGCATTTGTTTGACATCTAATTCAGTTTTCACTAACCATACTGATTTTGGTTACTCTAAAACATAAAGTGCACCCTAATTTCTCCCTTTTATTTTATTTCAAATTGTTGCGTTAAAGGCACCAAGACTTGGCCCTCTTGTGCCAAGTATTACAAGGTACCCAACTTGTGAACCTAAATTGATTTGAAAGAGAAGTTTCTCTATCTACAATACACACACACACAAATCTAATCTTTCTCTTTCAACCTTAATGTTTGCTCACCATCAAGGCAAGTTTCCATCTTCTGCTCCTCTAACAATATTAATTGCTGCTAAAATATCTTGCATCCTCTGTAAAAGGGTAACCAAATCTTGCTTCATTCCTCTGTAATATCTCACAAACGACCCAAAAAAATAGAGTTTTACTTTTTGTTCTTTCCATGTGATGTGAGCATTTTGGGTGATAAAGATGAAGACTATAATTGGGCTAGGGATTGGGTTGAGTTTGGTGTTTGGTTTTCTTCTCTTAGCACTTATTGCAGAAGTCTACTACCTTCTGAGATGGAAGAAGCACAAGAAGAGAGTCACAAGCCAAGAGAGTGAAGAAGAGAAAGAAGAAGAACAAAAACAAAGTGGATACGCTAAGGAACTTATCCAGCTCTTCTGCTTCAAAAGGCCTCAGTCTTTACATGCCAACAATGGTGGAAGAGAAGAAGGAGTCACACCGAGGAATCATCAAGATTTGGAGCTTGGCTTGATGAAACATCTAGAAGGAGGAGGAGGAGGAGGAGAACTAGGGTTTGAAGCAGAGCTCATGAAGCTTCACAACCAGAGGTTTCTCTTCACAATCATGGAAGAGACAAAAGCTGATATGGAATCCGATGATGGGAAGTCAAGATCAAGAACGAGGAGCTTGAGTGATGTAAATGACTGTAATACCCCTGGTTTCACACCATTGGCTTCTCCGACAGCAGTAAAGTCGTCTCCTTTGGGGTCTTATTCACACCATGAGTTCAATCCTCTGTTCGAAACAGAGGGTGAGCTTGAGTTTAACAAGTTTTTCAGGTCGTCTTCGTCGCCTCCGCCCAAGTTCAAGTTCATGAGAGACGCGGAAGAGAAGCTGAGGAGGAGAATGATCGAAGAAGCCAAGAGGAGAGAGCAAAAACCGGAACTTTCGGTAGAAGGTTCGTTCTTGAAGTTCATGAACAGAGAAAAGAAACAGAGTAATCAAGAATCTGATGAAACGTTGTCGTTTCGTACTTCAGCAGGTACAAAATCTTAGAACGTTAGACCAGAAATCATTTGCAGTGGTTGTTTAGTATTAGACCTCTCTTTTGCTTTAATTTTAAATTTTTTTTTTTGAAATTTTTTTCGAATTTCAATTTTAATTGTGTGAAATGTGAATCATCTTTCCTTTCTTTGGAAATGATTTCTTCTGTACGTAATCAATCTGAAAAAAATATCTGCAGATGCTTCTTTTAATTTCGTTTGAAGAAAAAAGTTAAAAAACAAAAGGTTGTGTATATATAGCTTTTGGTAAATAAGTTCAAATAAAATTGGGGTTAGGTTTGGAAAATTGGGGTTAGTAATTCAAATATTTACGGCGCCACAAGTTTGAAATTTTCAGCCTCCTTTAGTTTTTTAATCTTGCCAGTTCGATTAAAATATTACTATTTCAGGTAAAATTAGTGCAGTAAGTGCTGTTTAATCCCGTAAATCATGGCATTATATATCATGAATGAAAAACATCTCTTTTCTTCCACACATGTGATTATTTTTCTTTTTGGGGAAAAGCAAACTCACACTTGTGATTATTACTTAATTTTGATGCTTTATGATTCTTTAAGTCTAAATAAAAATAACGTTGTATACTTAAATAGACGTTTAGACTATTTTAATGAATTAAAACTTGTAAGAAACAAATATATATTGTATATGCCTTTTGTGTTGTCTGAACTAGAAAAGTTCATCGCATCACGCGATGTATCGCCGAAAGGTTTGTTTTAATTTCACTTACCTTTTCCAAAGTTTTCTTCAGGAATATATACACCTATCAACAGGCAACAGGTGTGTTTGATTCCATTTTTAAGCAACCTAAAGGTAAAATAAAGATAAATTAGATATTGATTTAATTAGCTGCGGTTTTGGTATAATAAGTCGAACAGGAAATATTACAAAAAAAAAATTAAACTTATAAGAATTTTCAAGCATGCAATAGTTTTTTTCTTGAAGTGTCAAAAAGTCTTATAGGACCACATAACTACTGGTAAGACTTTACCCCTTTATTAGTAGTGGTGAGTTAGCGACACTTTTTCTCGTCAAAAAAATCTATTATTTTCAATCTATATGACAAAACGGATGTTAGAGACATCACAACAACTGTTTACTTTTGAATGTTTTTTTTTGAATAAAAGAATATAAAATTAGTGAATAGGTGATGAAAACAAAAAAAAGAAATTAAAATCACCACATTATTGTTTATATCTCAAAAAATTATTTGAATCAGCAAATGCAGCAAAAATACAACAAATGTTAAACTCTCAGAAACTAAAAATGTATTATGTTAAAGTACACGGACATATATATGCTTATGCACTAGGGAAAATGGTACGTATATATGTACAATACACATTAATCATACTGTCAATACGCATATATGTACGTATTTGATGACAAATGTGAACATGGCGGCACGTGAAAGAACCAAACTCAAAGAGACAGGAACAGAACGAAGGGGTCCGAGAACACTCGTCAACATCTTGAGCCCCACCTTAATTGTTAATTTCGAAATTCACTTTGGACACTGGAGCCCAACTTTCCAGAGATATATAGTTAACTATGATTTGTATGTTAACCCTTGAATAAAATATCGTGTCAGCAAATTATATATCAGATGTTATAACATCTTCTAATGTTCTAACTTCTAACCAATAAATAATTACATATCAGACAAACACCACCGAAAAAATATACAGAGATTCCAATTTCGATGATCGATCAAACTTTAAAATGCAACCAATACAACTCAGTCACGAAGCCTAATCTTCACCGATGACACTTGGAAACAATTCAAGTATTCAACTCATCACATGTTAACATTATCATTCAGTTTTTAAATAATCAAAGACTATATATCCACATCGAAACTTAATAGACGTTCGTAGAGAAAATTACTAGATACAGTAAGTCAATAAGCGATTCGTCGTATTCAACCTGAAAAGTTACACGAATCAAGATTCAAAATTGTTTTTTGTTATAATTCAGTATCGTGAAATTACCCTCATTTCTTCAACTTTTGCAGGCTACATCCTCATTCATCATATTGATCAAAGAGGTAAACATTCTCTGCACATTAAATAATTCTTTTTTTTTTGGCAGTGGGTAGCAAGTGATTACTAAACACTGCATGGCATTATTTATTTTGTGATAACTTTTTGCGACGTGTTTTGGGTAAAATTTGACAGAGATATAACAAACAAAACGTGTTTTGGTAAAATGTGACAGAGCTATATTCGTGTCCATTGCAACAGTTTTTTTTTTTGGTAAAATCCATTGCAACAGTTTCTATCCTCATATTGTTATTCTGCGTTGATAAATTCAATATGCACAAGGAAATCAAACATCCAAAGATTATTTTACAACTTTGTTGTATACTAATAGCAATATTGATTGTTTGACCAATAAAACTTTTATTCCACACCTTTGTTTGCGTTATAAAACTCAAACCTGCATTCTATGAAAATCTGTACAGCTTATTTTTACTTGCTTTATTTCTAAACAGTGGCCTCTTATATTGTGATACTTGTCGTAACTGTGTTCTGCATATAATTTTTTATATAATTATAATAAAATATTCCGTAAACTTTAATATTAAACCATCTGTCCTTATACTCAACCCCCATTATATGCAACAAGCCTAATGAAACCCACGTGCTTAAGGTTTTATTCAAGTAGCTAGAGTAGTGTAAATATTTCTCTTAATTATGATAACTTGCTTTGTAACCTCCTCTCCTTCTTTTGTGAAAGATCAGTCGAGCACCTTTAGCCTTTTGGTGTTTGATGAACTCTTTCTATTTCCTTATTTTCTTGCACAGTAGAGGTACAAGCTCCTCAAATAAACAATATCAATCACAGCTTTGTTTTTCTATTTTGTCATGCTCTTTTGTGAGCATGAAGGATCCTTTATTTGATCAAATAAAAAGAAGGATCCTTTATATTTAACTGTTAATATTTGATACCTTTTCAATATACGAGGTGTCAATAGTTATATTGCAGGAGTCAGTTCTTAATGAGCAGTGTTGCCGACAAACAAGAAATATGACCAACTGCCATTGCTAGTTAATTTGTAATTAAGTTACTCTATGCCAGTAGTATGTATGAAAAGACAGCTTAACTAAACAATTGTATTCTTGTGGTTTCGTTTTGAATCAGTTGGATTAATTTATTTGGCCTTTGTAAAAGACTCGATCCTATCCAAGATAGGCATTATCTTCTGCAGTGAGTGGCTTTCCAGTTCTTGTCCAGTTCGTCGTTTCTAATTATTTTTATGTACGATTTTAACTTTTGGTATATAGTGTATGAGGATAGATTTTTAAAAAATTGATTTAGCTATTTATATTATAAAAATGCTAATATTTTCGGTCAGTTTTCGAAAACAGCTTAAATATAAAATGTGCTTGGCGGGACTGAATTACTTCGAGTCAACACCATAACATTTCCGCAACCGAGATCTCAGCCGACAGCTTGTTCACCTTTGCAGACGATGCAAATAATGAAAAATGGATGACATATCGTAAACTAAATTGTACATACATGTTCTATAGATAGTCGTTTATTTGAGAAATTGACTTAAAAATTTTGAGAGTCTTGAAGCAAATAAGAAAATGCTTACATCATATGCCCTTTTTTCCGTGACACATGAATGTGTTTGATTGTTAAAAGGTCACCGTTATCATCTCTCAATAGTTTCATTACCAATGATCTATATTTTGAAAAGCCTATTTCAGTACTGTCCCGATTCTTCCGGCGCACCAGGACCAAAACCGTAGTTTGTGTTCAGGTTTGGCTGTAATTTATTCCCTTGTCCAAAAATAGGTTTACACTTGTCATCATACCCTTAGATATAGGTTCCAGCAAAAAACGAACAGCCAAGGATCTGTTAGCATTCGAGCGATATAAAGGAAAGCTCATTTGATATTTTCAGAAATTTTGAATCTATTCAGGACAGGTGCTTCAGAATCTCATCCTCGTTGAATTAACCAGGTGACTGATTTACCTTTTGTTATTTGGCATTTAGTATCAATCTCGGTTTATTTCCATCGAAATTGCTAAGACACACTAAAATGTCTAGTAGAATTTAGAATAATCTACTTGGATGTGTTGTAAATCATTTTCATTTCACATGAGTCTTTATATTAAACATTCCTTAAAATTTGATACTGCTTTGAAGGTTTTCATGGCATCAATGATTGATAAAGATCAATTGAATATTATGGATTTAAGACTAGTTTTGTTCTTTTGGAACATGATTTAGGAATAACGAAATTTATTATCGAAAAAGTTTTGGACGTGGCCATAGGAAGTTTGTTTAATAGGAATTACGTGGCCATATTGATTCGATACTTAACATATTCAATTACAAAGAATAAATTTTGCGACCAAAAATGTTATTGTTACTAGTCTTGATTTCTTTCTATACAGACAGTTCTTCATTATGGCTGACGGTGAAGACATTCAACCACTTGTTTGTGATAATGGAACTGGAATGGTTAAGGTAAAGTTTCTCTAAATATGTGTCCCATAACTATATACCATAAAATACTTAAGCAAAATATTATGGTCTAGGCGGGGTTTGCGGGTGATGATGCACCAAGAGCGGTTTTCCCGAGCATTGTAGGTCGCCCTCGTCACACCGGTGTGATGGTTGGGATGGGACAAAAGGATGCTTATGTTGGAGACGAGGCTCAATCAAAACGTGGTATCTTGACTCTCAAATACCCAATTGAGCATGGAATTGTTAACAATTGGGATGACATGGAGAAGATTTGGCATCACACTTTCTATAACGAGCTTCGTGTCGCCCCTGAAGAACATCCGGTACTCTTAACCGAAGCTCCTCTAAATCCAAAAGCTAACCGTGAGAAGATGACTCAAATCATGTTTGAAACATTCAATGCTCCAGCTATGTATGTTGCCATTCAAGCTGTTCTCTCACTCTATGCCAGTGGTCGTACAACTGGTAATTAATTTTCTGAACTATTGCATCGGTTTAGTTAGGTTTACACTTGATGAATTCATTATTGATTGGTCTTTGGCTAGGAAATCATATATCACTTTCTTTTAATGATTTTAGGTTTATTTGGTTTGGTTACATTCATATTTATGTTAAATTTTGGTTTGGGTAAAAACGTTGTAACTGTTCTATTAGAAATGTAATTTTTTTTTGTTAATTCGGTTCAGTGACCAGCCTGATTGGTTATTTTGCAATTGTTGTTTTAGGTATTGTTTTGGACTCTGGAGATGGTGTGAGTCACACGGTACCAATTTATGAGGGTTACGCTCTTCCACACGCAATCCTACGTCTTGACCTAGCAGGTCGTGACCTAACCGACTACCTCATGAAAATCTTGACAGAGCGTGGTTACTCCTTCACCACGACTGCTGAGCGTGAAATCGTTAGAGACATGAAAGAGAAACTCTCTTACATTGCTCTAGACTACGAACAAGAGCTCGAGACTTCAAACACAAGCTCTTCCGTGGAGAAGAGCTTCGAGCTTCCTGACGGTCAAGTGATAACTATTGGAGCAGAGCGGTTCCGGTGCCCTGAAGTTCTGTTTCAGCCATCAATGATCGGAATGGAAAATCCAGGAATCCATGAAACCACATATAATTCTATCATGAAATGTGATGTGGATATTAGGAAAGATTTGTATGGTAACATTGTGCTAAGTGGTGGAACCACAATGTTCGGTGGGATTGGTGATAGAATGAGTAAAGAAATTACAGCTTTGGCTCCGAGTAGTATGAAGATTAAGGTCGTGGCTCCACCAGAAAGGAAGTACAGTGTTTGGATCGGTGGTTCTATATTGGCTTCACTCAGCACTTTCCAACAGGTGAAAACATAATATATTTAACATTTTTTCTTTGGTTTTAGTAATGACATTTTTTAAATTTCTCTCTTTAATATGAAATTGTCATGTATTTGAAAATTTTACAGATGTGGATTGCAAAAGCAGAATACGATGAATCTGGACCGTCAATTGTGCATAGAAAGTGTTTCTAATTTTGAAAAAGACCGGGGCAAGGATGAAACACTATGTCAACTTTTTCTTTAATCTCATGTCATCACCCAAATTGTTCTTTGTAATTTTTTATTTGAAGCACCTGAACTAAGTCAGTAATTTTATTTATTAATTATGTACACAACTTTAATATTGTTTCTTTTATTTTCCTTTTTGATTAATCTATTTAATATTATAAATCTATTAAAAAAGATTGGAACTATATCAGCTTGCTTTGCGAATGTAAACGTTAAAATGCTTTAAACAAAATAAAGACAACAAAGGAAAATATGACAATAATTTCTAACTGTACACAATCTATCTCCAAACTAGACTATACACTTTATTTTTATCTTCTTGTCATTGTTAAAGATCTGACTTTGAAGTTTTCAGTAAATGTAATAAGAAACTGATGAAATAAAAATCTTCCTTTGTTGTGTCCGAATCCCAAGCCTTCCTTTGTTGTGTCCGAATCCCCTGGGGTTAAGTTTCTTTCCCTGTTAGATCTGGAGATCTCTTAGATCTGTTCACCGGTTAAGGTATGAGTGTTGTTAACATTAATGGTCACTTTGTGTGTGTTTTATTACACAGCAGATCACTTTTGAAAGTTTAAAATGAGTACGGTTCCGAATAGCGCGCGTAGTAATAATACAGATAAATTAAGTTGATGGTTTAATTTTGAGCTTTGACCAAAAAAAAAAGGAAAAGAAAAAAGTTAAATGGTTTATTAAATTCTAATTTTTATAATCGATTCCGGTTTAACCTTTCGTACTAGAAACCGAAACCTGCGAATCTCATCCGTGACGAGAGAATCTCCAAACTCCCATGTCAATCTCCGGCGATTTCCCTCCCGATCCGCTTCTCTCCACCGGCTCCTTCATCTCCTCGCCTACCACCGCAGGCGACGGAGCCCTACCAAGAGGAAGCGAAGCAATCGCAGATGAGGTGAATCCGTCGCCGAGTCAACAATCGGATTCGAAGTCGCGGAAGCGTTCGGCGGCGCCGTTAGACAATTGGTTGCCTGCAGGTTGGAGAGTTGAAGATAAGGTTCGAACCTCCGGTGCTACAGCTGGCTCCGTTGATAAGGTATATAAATCTCTTATCTCCATGGTGGATTCTCTTGACATAGTGTGAAGCATTAGGCTCTATTCATTCTGATGGATCCAATTTAGGTAAAGATTGCCATTGATGGAGATGAAATTTTGTAATGTCCAATGCAAATATGGCATGTGCAAACATTGATTTTGTAAGAGTTAAGAGATTGGTTGGAATTAGTCCTGGGCATTCGGTTTTCGATTCGGGTCGATTTGGTTTTTGGGTTATTCGGGTTGAGATGTTTAGGAACCAGACATCTTTTCAGATCGGTTCGGTTTGGATAATGTCAGATTCGGTCGGGTTTCTATTTCTTTTATAAAACCCGAAGTGGAATATTACAAATAATTGGGGTTTAGAACCCAATAAACCGAAAAAATCCCGAAAACCCGAGTTAAACCTGGAAAAATCCGAAAATATATTCAGGTTATTCGGGTAGTTCAGATTTTTAGATATTTTTATTTATAAATTATATTTTCTATATATTAAAATTAAAAATAATTACTATGTTTTAATATATTCAAAATATTCGAGTATTTGTTTGATTCTCGGTACGGTTTCGAGTTTTCAGATTTTGAAATATAAGAACCGTTCGCGTTTTTGTAATTTTCGGACCGGTTTCAGTTCGGTTTTTGGATTTCAGACTAGTTGGAATAGCCTTACAATATTTTCTATAACATTTTTTTATGCAGTTAGCTGTAAAAACATAATAAGCAAAAGAATTAAATAAATATTCCTACATCAATTTGCAGAAGAAAGCTCATAAATCGGTAATTTTTATGATTGGAGATAAAAACTAAAAGTAAACACTTGACACAGCTTAACAAATCATTCCCATTGTCTTTTATTCTGTTTTTTGTAGTACTATCACGAACCAATCACGGGACGTAAGTTTCGGTCTAGGACCGAAGTGCTGTACTACTTGGAACATGGAACCACCCCTAAGAAAGGAAGCAAGAAACCAAAGAACACTGGTTCCATTTCAGACGTGAGTTTACATGTTTTTTTTTGCCGTCTTTTTTTTTTCAAAATCGTGATAGATATGTAACTTTGTATTTGCAGCATTTGGAAGGCAAAGGAAGGGAGAAATCTAGCAAAAAGGCTGAAGAGCAGCCGCTGCCGCCGACGTTGCCGCCATTGAACTTTGATTTTGAGAATCCACCAGAGAAGGTAAGCTGGTCTATGGCAGACGCAGGAGAAGAAGCTTGGACACCTTTTGTTGGGAACGATAAGGTTCAAGATTCAGTGAAACGAGATTGGTGCACTGCGTTTACCGTTATCACAACCAAAAACCCAAGTAGATGATTAGAATTGGCGATTTTTTTGGGTTGTTTGATGATTGCATCTATTGTAAGATTAACGGAGATGGTAGAGTCATTTCACTTTGCTTAGTGTTCGCATGATTTTAGTTAGTAGTACTGTAATATGATAATGGGATATACATATGACATATCTGTGTTTGCCTTTTGACAAGTTATAGACATCGTTTCTCGGACACTTGGACATGGAACTTTTCAATGTCCAGTCTTGTATTATGTGTCTACGAAATGCTCATAGTTCTTATATTATGTCAACGTATTCCTTTCTATAATCAATGAAAACAATCTATTGTGGCTCTCTTGGGCTACTAGTTGATGTTGCAGGGGAAAATAGATCCATGCCTAATGGGAACTCCAAAACAGGCTACTGTTGATGATGCATCACCACGACCTTTTTAGGAGGAGACAGTCACGTATCATGTGACATTCTAACATTCAAAAGATTCATAAATTATCACTACTATAAGAACATTTCGTCTCTTGTACAGTATTTTCCTCAGATAGTTAACAAAAAAATAGAGATTTGTTCATGGATCCCAAGATAGCGGTGAAGTAGCATTTGCTGCTGAGTACAATGAATGTTTGGTCAGCTATTTCAGAAGTGTGCCAAGCTATAGACAACAATCCATGCGAGCTGCAGGACCAACATATGAAATACAGTTTGTTAATCCTTCCCATACCACAGTGAAGCAAAAGAGTTTGGTAGTGTTGAAGTAACAAAAGTAACCAAGTATTACACTTGAATAATTTTTCAACAATCTTAGACTTTTGGATTCTTTAGTTATAGTGGTCAACATTAATTGGTAATTTTAATTCAGTTGATCTTATGAATCACCTTACTTTTCGACATCGAAAGCTTGCTTATCCGACCATAAGTTTACTTGGTCAATATTTGTGTGTTTATTTTAGCCTATTACTTTATTTATCACACAAAAGAAATTAAAAATCACTTTGGGTCATTGAGTCTTTAGATCCAAAATGAATCATCTCACTATTTTTATGTTAGTTCTTGTTATGTGTTTTGGTTTTAAAGGAATTTCTGGATGCGCTCCAAACCTTTTACGATTTAAAAACAAACTTGCAGCTGATCATGTACTCGCTCTCACCTGCTGGTCCAACAGAGACGAAAAGAAATATACCAAACGTCTAGCACACAATGAAAATTACAGCTTTAGGGTTGAGGAGAAAGGAAAAAAAAGAATAGTGTGGAAATGTGAATTTAAGGATGAGAAGAGTAAGACTTTTCTTATGTTATGGAGAGCGTATAGAGGAGCCGCCAGCGTTCGATGTGGTCAGATACGTGAATATATTGCTGAACTTAAAGGCGTTTCCTTTGTGAGAAATAAAAAATTGACCGAACAAATTTTTACTTGGACCAAATTATAGCAAAAAAAAAAAGTTTTTCCTTGAACTAATGAATGTATTTTTCTTCTTCTTTTTCTTACGACTAGTATTATGAAGCTGAAATTTTTCCTTGCCTTTTACGTTAAGTCATTTATTTTTGTAAATTTGGGATTACAATATATAAAAAGGTTAATAAAATATTGTATATTGTTTACTTAATATCTATATTGTATCAATCTTCTAAATTATATCATATACTTTTTTTCTTTTTTTTTTTGTATATAAATTTTCGATTCAAATAATATATTTCCACTCGAATACTCTATACTAGATGATACCTCGCGCGCATGCGCGGGGTGAATTTTTTATACTAATATTTATTCATTAAATGGTTTTTAACATTTTGCAATACTATAGTATTTATCGATTATAAAATGATGAATACAAATGTTGGTATCTTAAATCTTCATAGGTCTGGACATTTGAGACTTCTTCGGTTTTAGTTTGATTGACACATATTTTCAGATTTTGGTATTATTCTCATAAATCCTATTTGAATTTTACTAATTATCGGATTGGATACGATTTGATCTTCTCAATTCAGTTTGGATTGGATTGTAATCAATATCTGAAATCATCCCAAAAATATTTGTTAAACATTAAATGTTGACAAAAAAATCAAAATATTTAAAATATTAATAAATCTAATTTAAAATTAGTTAAATTATCTAAACAAACTAAAAGATATTAAAAAAAGAAGCAAATAAAAAAAACTACAAAAATCTTTCGAATACTATAATTTGTATCTACTAACCTTAAAACTTTTCACTGAAATTTTTAAATTAACATATTTATAGTATGAATATCTACTAATGATACTTCATATTCGTACAATATATGATAATTTGTATCTTCTTTGGAAAAAAACAAAGTTAAACCATTGATCATAAAATTTTCAATGTGGGATTTTACTATTTTTAGTTATTTATGGTCATTTTAAAAACTCAAAAAATATATACTATAAGAAAAAAATTAATTTTTTATTATATATTTAAATGTGATTGTTTAATTTATTTTAATAATTCAAAATTAAACAAAAAAGAGAGAGAATAAAAAATATGTATTATTCATAATCATTAATTACATATATATGTTAATCATATTAGGTAATTCCGTAGTTTTTATTTAAGGAAATAAAATATATTGTTTTATACCTAGCAGAGTTGGTCCCTTAAAAAATGTTTATATATTATAGTCCTAAATGCAAGAAATTAAATGTTACATTATTTTATTCCTAACAAAGTTGGTCCATTAAAAAATTAAAGCTGAGAAACTCTGTGAGTTTGACACGTAAGCATGCTCTCCAAAGTTGTGCATTTATGAATGCTTTAGGATTAATATATAAGAGATTTGAAGACAAGAATATTATAATCATTTGAAAACTGTTACTTTGCTTCATTGTTTTGTTTGCCACCAATGGTATATTGTAGAATCTGTTAGATCACATGAACGGAAAGACAAAACAGTATCATTATATATCTGGATCTATAACACAAACGTAAAACAACCAAACAGAAAGTTCAAAAACTTTTGGCTATAATTTTTATCGAAACGGGTAGCAACACCATGTGAATGAGGATACAGACATGATCTTCTAAAACATGTGAACTAATTTGAAACTAGGTTTAGCTAATGTTTCGTTTGAGGTTTTGGTGGCTTCAAAGCGCTCCAGCTCTTGGGTTTCTTGAAACCATCTCCTTGTCTGTTGCTTGGTGATGGTTTGTCACTGCTCCTCACGGACTTGCTTGGATGGTTTTGTTCCTCAGGATGTTTCCTTTTCAAGTCACCATTTGTTTCCCGGCTTGTCTCAACCTTAGGTTCACTGAAAGATGATACGTTTTGGCTACTTACAGTTTTGGGAAACTAATCTGTTGAGAACCAAACAAAAGGAAATGTAAAAGCAGAGGGTACAAACCTAAAAGACATTCTTCCACCATTACTGCTAGAGCTTGTGGGAGAAGCATCTGTTTGTATCGCCTCTTCATTCAGTTTCTAAGGAAAGAAGATTTCTATTACAAAAAAATACTAAAAGGAGAAGAACATGAACCGTAAACTATCTTAGGCCTTAGCACCACAGTCACAAACCTCAATATTGGGGTTAAAAGACTGAAACGACATGCGTCCTAATACTGCTCCTGGCTGAGGATCCCAGTCTGTTATGACCACACTGCATTCAAAAATCAAAATCACACATTCAGACATCACTGACAAATAACCAAACTATACGAACTACTCTCAGTAATCAATCAAGTACCCAAAACAAAAAGAACAAAGAGTAGACACAACACATACAAAACAGTAAACATCTCAAGTAAACTAAAAGAAGCTGTTACCACTTCTTTGCAGCAGTTCCAAGGGAAGAAAAACTCTCATTAGGTTCTTCATCAATCTTCTTCTTCTCCTCTTTTAGAGCAGACCTTTGCATAAACTAAAGATAAAAAGAGCACTAATCATGAAACAACACATACCCAATTGTCTCTCACTCACAAAACAACCGTAAGAGCTACATGATTGATAATTGATGCAATTGTTCCAATAAAAATTGCAACTTTGGTCTGAAATCAATTCTATAACTGTTGGATAAGCTCTAAAGGTTAGGTTTTTATAATTCAGAGATTAAAACCCAATTCAAAGCTCGAAACTTTATATCAAACTCGTGAAGAAAGAAAGCAAGCATGTGTGTGGAGGTAAAAGCAGATACCTTTAGGTTTCTCAGAGTGCTACTAATCTCTCTCTTCGCCATTGTGGCTTCCCGGTGCCGGCGCCGAGGAGGAGGAACAAATCGAGTGTTTTCGTGTTTTTAGGTTTAGTTTCTGATTTGAAGAAGCTTGATAAACTAACCGTAACCGATTTTAACTGTACCAAATTGAAAACTTGATAACCAAACCGAAATCTAATTGGTTTAAGTTTGGGTAATTGAAAGGAGGCAATGCAGTTTCGGTTTATTTGGTTATTTCGGTTCAAGTATTTTTGATTTTCGTTTATTTTATTCGGTTACAATCTCATCGAAGTGGATAAAAAAAAATTGGATATTTCTAAATCGGCTTTCGTTTTCGATTAATCTTAGTCTTTAGTTTTATTTTTAAAAATAAATGATTTTCCGTTAGAATATTATAACCGAAAAACGAAATCAAGTTCGATTAATTCAGATTTTTCAATAAATTTGATGATTTTGGTAAGTTTAGATAGTTCAGTTCGATTATTTATTTTTAATAATTTTTTTTTAAAAAATACAAAAACTAAACCAAACCAAACCGAGAAACAAAATCGAGTTTCGAAACCCTACCAAACAAAACCAAACTCAAAACTGAAAATTTCGGTTAGGTTCAGTATTGCTGGTTCGGTTCAGACAAAATCCGCACGCCTGTTTGAAACCAAAACCCGAATCTAATCTGAAAAAAAAAAAAAAAATAAGTCAACGACTCAGAGCAACGTTTGTCTCTGTCCTTTCGTTAGAGCCCGATGGAGAAAGCGATGAACTATCTCGGAATCGACTTTCTCTGCGCCACTAATTCCCTCCGTAACGGCCACTTTCCAACGAAAGACTGTCTCTTCCCTCTCATCACCAAACTGCTTAGCTACTTCCTCGTCGCTGCTTCAATGACCGTCAAGCTTCCTCAGGTTTCTTCTCTCAAAATCAAACTATAGTTTCTTCACTATAATCATCATAAACTAATAAAGTCTAAAACTTTTACTCTGATAGATAATGAAAATAGTGAACAACAAGAGTGTAAGAGGCCTTAGTGTGACAGCATTCGAGCTAGAAGTCGTTGGTTACACAATCTCACTCGCCTACTGTCTCCACAAGAACCTACCCTTCTCATCTTTCGGTGAAGTCGCGTTTCTTCTGATCCAAGCTTTGATCTTGATGGCTTGTATCTACCACTTCTCCAAGCCTCTCTCTGTTTCAACTTGGGTCAGAGTGGCTATCTACTTTGCTTTGGCGCCGACTTTGTTTGCTGGGAAGGTTGATCCTTTGGTCTTTGAAGCTCTTTACGCGTCTAAGCATTTGATATTTTTGTCTGCGAGGGTGCCTCAGATTTTGAAGAATTTTGGAAGTAAAAGCACTGGGCAGCTTAGTTTCTTGACTTGTTTGATGAACTTGGGTGGGTCTATGGCTAGGGTTTTTACTAGTGTTCAGGTGAATGCTCCGTTTAGTATGGTTATTGGTATTGTTCTTGCGGTTTTCACTAATGGGATTATTATGAGTCAGATTCTTTTGTATCGGAGAAAAGGAGAAGATAAGCAAGTAAGTGATAAAAAGATGTCATGATAGTCATGTACTTTAGCTTTGTAAAAGAGATTACAAAAGATTGTTTGGACTTTTTTATTATCATTTAAATAAACTCAATTTGTTTCATTATATCCATTTCACAGTTTTGTAATCTCGGAAAAATGTTTTGTTACTTAGAAGAGTGATTAAGTAGTCTTCGTGCTATTCTCTTAAGTTACTATCAGCTTGAGAAACCCAAGCTTTCGTGAATCGGCCCACCAGTAATAGGCATGTCAGGTTGTTTTGTGTGGAAGGTAGAGATCCACGTCGTCTGGCCACGTAGGGGTGGGCACTTTACCCGATACCCGAACTCGTACCCGAACCCGACCCGAAATATCCGAACCGAAATCCGAACCGAAGTATCAAAATATCCGAACGGGTATTGAGTTAGGAGAGTTTGGATATCCGAACCCGAACGGGTAATACCCGAACCCGAACGGGTATCCGAAGATAACCGAACATATATATATATACCTATTTATTCCTAGTTTATTTGTCTCATAAAAACATCTATATTAATGTTATATATAGTTTAAGATCAGATAATATACATATAATTGTTTAAAAAAACTGATTTGTTACTCATTTAAAATGTATATTAAGCTTCTTATTTCATATTTTAACAAAATTTGCATCCAAAATTCGAAAATAACAACCAAAATAATGATTTTTATTTTCAATAATTTATTTTCAAACTTATTAATCGTCCAACTTATTAAACATTTAAAAAAGGTTAAGTTGATAGTTAAATTTTTAAATACATGAAACTTAAGTAATGAAGAATTTGAATTTTTTTTTTCAAAATCTAAATATCCGAACCCGACCCGAAATAACCGAACCCGAACTAAAAATATCCGAACCCGACCCGATATGTAAAAATACCCAAACGGGTCCTAAACCCCAATACCGAAATACCCGAAAACCCGAAATACCCGACCCGAACCCGAACGGGTACCCGAACGCCCACCCCTATGGCCACGCGTGGAGCTAACAATTTCGCACTAGAGAGGAATTGATCCCGGTCTTGGACCAATATGATGCCTTTTCATCTAGTTGAAATCATTAGACCACCACGATATTGTTGTCAAATGTTTGTTTAAGCAATGGTTTCAATGGTGGCCTTGTGCGCATAGTTCAAGGAGAGCTTCAAGTATGTTGTGAATATGCTCCAGTGCAATATCTATACCCCCTTCCTCTTGTGTGAGGTCCCAACTCAATAGTACAAAAAGATTTTTCTTGGTTGAGTTCTGTTTTATATACTTATAAGTCACTGATTCTTTTACTTACCCATATACGGTGTGGACACCCATACCTTAATTTCCCGGGTTGAATGTTACGGTTGCTGTCATCGAATAACAACTGAAAATACAACCAATGAATTTTGAAACTTATTAAGCTGTTATGATTAGGTAAAATGAACAAGAGAGAGAGACGTAGAGATTTGGTTGTGTTCTTACTCTCTTATTCAAAATATAACATGCGCCTTAATGTATTCAGAAACTATTTACTTTTTCTAATTAACGAAAGTGTTACGGAAACACGGCATACATGTTTTTATTGCTCAAATACTTTTAGACCATATATATATCAACCGTTGCAGCAACAATAAACGGCGTATATATCACCTTGGATACTTTTAGTTTATTGTACATTACTTATACATGTAAACTTTTCAAGAAACTAGAAATAAACATGTTAGATTTTAATTAAGCATGAACAGAAGTTTCAATCGAGATCTGTGTGGCGTAACCAATTCTTTCAGATTCTTTGTTCATGTTGTTGTTGATGGACTCCGACCATAACTCCGGAAATGCTTCTTTCATGTTGTGAATGCTTTTTAATGCCCTTCCACTTTTTCTGATTTACCAACCTAAAAAATAAATCATGGTTATACATGCACGTCTCAACAACACATGTTAGAGATAATACAAATTGGTTTGGTTTGGTTTAAGATTTTAAACCGTTCTTACCAAGACTGTATGGAGACCCATGGCTTTTCCGGTTTGGATGTTACGTACACTGTCGTCGAAGAACAACTGTACAAGATTCGTTTATAACATTTACTATTAGATAATTAAGAATAAAGTATGTTTGTATTTAGTTATTAAATGAGAGCTTACGGTTTCGTGAGGATTGAGCTGTGCAATATCGAAGGCTTTCTCGAAAGCACTCTCTGCTGGTTTACAGATAACCGGAAGGTAGTCTATAGAAACCTCATCAGTCTCGTTGATCTTAGGGTTTAAGGTCTCGAAACTTATGATTCTCTCAAAACAATCTTCGATCCCGAGCCTCTTTAGAGCCTTGGTCACATGAACTTCATCTCCGTTCGAGAAAACCTTCACAAAAGAAAAAACATAATCTATTATATAAATTATTAGCTTAACTTAAGCCAAAATATATATATATACATACCAATTTTCGCAAGGGTAGTGTAAGGAGGAGATTTCTGAGAACCGGGTCCGGTTTAAGGTTTTCATAAGGTAATCTTCCATGAACAAAACGATGGTACTCATCATTGTCGAATTCATAACCTACAGCCTGCATTGATTTTCAGTTTAATCAACCATAAACCATGCATTTGTCATGTGATTAACTATATGGTTCTGCAAGTGTATATATATATATATGCATGATTCTAGGGATATATCAATTTTGGTCAACATATTTACCTTTAGACCAGCCATTGAAGTTCCATACTTTTTGTAGAGTATTTGGTTTAGTTCAACGACTCCGTCTTCATCTATTCCAAGCTTCTCAACCATGAATTCTGCACAATGGCAATTCAGTTATTTTTAAACGAAATTTAAATTCCAAATGAAATATCAAAACTATTAATCAGTAACGCAAATAACAAAGATTATATTAGAAGTACAAACTATATTATTATACCTATGATGTTGTTGGCGCATGCTTGTGATAAGCCAGAGCTTAAAGGATAAAGAGTATCATCCAAATCTTTATATTGGAAACAAACAGAAAGACAGATCACTAAATTTTGTTAGATGCTTCTAAGATTTCTTCATGTTTATATAGAAACACATATTAAACAGCTAGCACTTCTTACCAAACAGGAGACAGTCATATCTTGGTGTGGAGCTATTCAAAAAGTCCATTTTTTCAGAATTCTGCAATATCTGGTGATTTAGAAGAATTTACTTCAAACAAAAGAAGAGAGAAAATAATAGACGTGTGAGAAATGATGATTAAGAGAAAATATTTGATGATGAGAATAAGAGAATGCAGATATGATTATATAAGAAACAGCTAAACGCGTGTGAATAGCTTTTCTATTTATTAATAATACAGACGATGGGTACTTTATATTCTTTGTTTCGTTTAACATTTTTTATTCTTTGCTTAACCGAGTGCATTATTGTAGTTATAAACTAAAAGATTAAAACAATGGTTATCTTGATTCCCGTTGATGTGCAATTCAAAAAAAGTAATGAATTAGTATAATAAACTATTCAATAGGCATATCATAAAGTCCGCGCGTCAATAGTTATATCGTTCTCTTGATCGTGTCACGTTTTTCATATGATTTAGGAAAAAAATGAAATGCAAATATTTGTGAAATATTCATATTCTTGACCAGAAAGTGGGTGGCCTGTCACAAAAAGATTTTGTAGTTGATTCCTTTTTTGAAAACCATTTTGTAGTTGATTCCTTTATATTTTTTTCTTTCTAACGTTTTCTATCTTTGTTTTCTTTCAGTAATAAATAGACATGTAAAAATGTTTGATTCCTTTTATAACTTTTTCTATCATTTTCTATCTTCGTTTTGTTTCAGTAGTAGACATGTAAAAATGTTTGATTCCTTTTATATTATCCTTTTTCTTTTCTTTTAATACAAATGTAAATAGTTGCATGTTCTTCACGTTAGAAATAACACTTGGACTAATACCTTAGTCTCTTTGAGGTTTTTTTAAAAACTTTTTGCGGCCTCATAGATGCATAATGGCTGTGTAAGCAGACTGTGGATACAATTCACTTTGTAACCAAACCTTCATTTTCATTAATGATATTTACAATTTAGCAAAAAAAGAAATAACACTTGGAACTTGGAAGCAACTTCTTTTTCGAGCTGCTACATGTGCAACCGGTCGGTTTCCACGACAAGGACCCGCCGGTGTTAAGTGAACACATCACTTGACGTGTCAGAGCCCAATCTTTTTCTTGAAAGACCTTTGACTATTTCTAGAGTAGCCCATTGAGCCATACTCTCATAGCTTATAGGCCCATTCTTTATGTATTTTAGCACTCTAAACTAAGATTATGGATATAAACACTCCTTTATGGTCTAAGGTTTTGTTTGGTATTGGGGTCATGTTTGAGCTTGTTGTTTCTTGTATGTTTGGTTTACTACAACAAGAAGGCAAAGCTAGAGGAAGAGTTTCGGACAAAGCTATTGGGATTATGTTGATAAGGTTAGGCACAAGTTCATCACTCCTTTTGTTTACTAGTGCTTTAGAGGAACATGTGTTGTGTCTAATTATCTGGTATCTATCAGTCAAAGTTGTATGAATGAAGATGAGTTGTTTTATTTGCCATTTTTATTGGAATGTTAGGCTTATGAAAAGGATATGCGTTTATACTATTCGTGGCTCCTCTTAATCTCCAGTTCAGGATATTTCTCAATGATTATTTTAGTTTAGAGTTTAGCACTAATCTGACTTAAAGTGTATTAATACCTCCAGTTACAACCTAAAGCTATTTGCTTTCTGAGTGTTTTCGCCTTTACACGTAAGGAACCGCATAGAGAACAATCTTAATCATGATTAGTTAAATAAAGTGACCATTACTAATCTAATAATATTCCTAATCCCACTTGTTCCACACTAATCAATCATGATTAGTTTAATTATAAAAAATTCCATCCTGATAAACCTTTAATTTGTCTCCCTTTGCATTTGCAACCCATTAACCATCTCCACCTGGAAATGTTTCTTTAATGACTTCTTCATAGTACTTTGGAGAAAAAAGGTTTTTGAGGTTTGTGTATAAAAACACATGAGGTTTTCAGATATTTCATATGAGAAAAAACTCATTAGTATTGGCCTCTGCTCCTGCCACTTGTGTAGTGAAGTGGGCTTGAGTTATGTTGATGTGATCTCTGTCTCTCTCTTTTATTCAAAAGTCATTGATAAGATAGGTTTCCTCCTGATGCTAGTTATGTCCCTTTCCATGTGATTTTACATCGACCAACTAGATTTCTTCATAGTAGTTTATATATTTATGCCCTCTCTCTCTCTGAATTGATTATCCTCAAAATCATCTTGCTGATTGATTTACTTTCTGAATCTTCTTGCTTTCCTATGTGTTCATTTTTTGGCCATAAGAGTGGTCACCTTTAGAGGTCAAACCGATAAGGGTTTTTAGTCTGTGGTTAATTGTTTGGGTTCTTGATGAAAAAGGCAAATGGTCTAGCCTCTGATAGTTGCTAACAGCCAGTAGTTGCAGATGCAGCACCATTAAGATTCACAAGAGATGTGGTTTCCTTTGTTTTCGCCTCTCCCTCCGAAAATAAAGGGGTCGTCTCGAGTGGGAATCTTGATGATGCTGCATCAGCAAATACATGGCTACTCTTGTGATCAACTTTTATTTCCTACTCGTGGCGAGGAAGTTACAAGGACTTCAAAACAGAAGGTAAAGTCTCCTTTTCTTGTTTCTGACTCTTGGCAATTTCTTGATCACGCACAAGTTCTGAAATATCCTTGATGATATTTCTTTCTTGCTTTAGTTATTTGGCATAACATTCACATGTAGAGCTTTCAACGGATCCCACACATGGTAAAAAAAAACTACAAAAAATCGTGACAATTATATTTGTACACATCTATTTAGAAATAGACCTTAGTTTCTAAAATGGGTGTATAGTGAGAACTCTGAAGTACGGAGTCTTTTGTGATTATGGTTTTTGTGAACTCACATGGTCACATGTGCAAATGATCCATAAGTGTTCTTTGGTCAATTATTTGCCTATGGTCCCAAGGTATATCGTGTATTTATATAGTTCTTTGACCCGCTAGAGAAATATAAAACATATTTCCACATGGATCATATAAAGCTCGAGGCACATTTTCCTTGCTAGAACAAATTTTTCTTAGGGGAGAAATTAATGTGTACAGAAAATGAAAATAATAATTAAAGTTTGAAAGTTTCTTTGGAAAAAAGGTATCCTGAATTTTAGAAGTCTACAAAGTTGGTGGTTTTAATTGTAGGAAATATTAATCTTACTGTATGTTTTACATTTCTAAAAGATATTTCTTGATGAACTTTAATTGGCTAAGTCGTACACTTATGGTCCCCAGATCATAAAGAAATCATTTAACCTGCCTTTTGATTAAGTAATTAACGACAACAAAAGTAAGTAATGACGTCAACAAATACTTAAATAGTTTTTCTGTGCTTGCTATTTTTATATGAAGATCTAGCAGGTTAAATGATTATCTCGATTTATGCCAAGGTAATTGTGAAGAAAAAACGTTTAATATGTTTGATTATATTCAAGGTTAAAAAAGTTGGTTTAAATCAATCTAAATTAGTCTAATTATTTTAATTAAGCAATAATGTTAGTATAAATCTATTTGTTTTGTATAATTAAAATATCTCATATAAATGTAAAATAAATATAAAATAAATCAATAATTCGTTAATGTTTAGATCTCGCCTAAAACCCGAATAATTGATATAGTTGCTAGTCCTCTATAAAACACATAGTTACTGCCTAACAATTTCTTGAACATCCATTATGTCTCCACATATCCTATATTGGTTATCCATCAATATTTATGGACGATTGGAAACAAACAACACTACATGTAATCTACTGTTGTTGTACTGGTATCATTCATCATTATGTCACTCAGATTAGCTCATCACGAACTAGGTAGGCTATTTTAATTAGGAGTTGCTTAAAATTTCGAAACAACTCATATGTATCAAGTTGGAATTAAGTTGCTTACCAAGTTAGCTATAAAATGAACGAATTATATTGTACTAAAACTATAACAATTGTTGAAAAGTGAACCCTTTGGTTCTGGTCAAAATGAATTCTAAACAACAATATTCCGCTTTTGATTTAAATATATACTAGAATTTCACCCGCACATCTGTGCGGGTATATTTTTTATTTTATAAATATATAACTAAAGTTTTTTAATATATGATTTATATTTTAAGTTTTAATTATAATAATATCTAATAACAAAATAAAGAAGTACTTATTTTATTAAAAAAAATATTTAAAATTTTTGGTAAGATCTTATTAGATTTTTTCAACAGATTTTGTTATATTTAAATTTATTTATTATTAATATTCTTATTAGTTATTAAGATATTTTGAAAATAATATATATTTGACTGGTTAATATAATAATCAAATATGTCAATTAAGTAATTAATAATATGGTCCAACATGACTTCTAAATAGTAGATAAATTTGGTACTTCTCTTTTAATAGAGAAGATTAATAATATGGTCCAACATGACTTCTAAATAGTAGATAAATTTGATACTTCTCTTTTAATAGAGAAGATTATTAAATATGTGTATGATGTTGAACAAAAAAAAATGTGTATGTATGTACACATATCTCCATATATATTGCTCTATAATATTATAAGAGTGGTTAAAAAGCTTTGACCTAATTCATACCAAGTTCTCTATCATTTCTTAGCTCTATCTATAATTCAAACTTCAAACAAACACACACACACACGCATACACATTCTATATTGATGTACATCTCTATACAGAGTTGGATCAAAAGAACCGAGAACATCCACTCTTGAGTCTTGATTCATGGATGATGAAAAGCTGTGGAGAGTTTCCAAGAAAGACTCCATCTACCAGACGACTCATTTCTCTACAAAACCCGACGTTTTCAGACGAAGCTTCTCAACAAAAGCTTCTTCTTCGTCTTCTAAACCCATCTTCACAAGAAGTTCCTCAACAAAACCCACATCTTATACTTCCTCGGAACCAATCTTCAGACGGAGTTTCTCTGCAAAACCCACTCCGTCAAAATTTTTGTTTCTATCTAGGAGCGGTTCAACGAAAGGTCAAGCTACAACTTCTTCTACCAAGTGTTCCATCTCTCGGAGCTTGTCTCAGAAAGGTGCTTCCGCGACCCGAAAGTGTCGTAATGTGGCGAAGGAGCACAAGTCCCGGTTCTACATCTTGAAACGCTGCGTTTTCATGCTTGTTTGTTGGCACAAACATGCCTAAGATTCCTTGCAGAGATGTGAGGAAAGAAGATTAGGTTAAATAATTACAGAGAATTTACTCGTTATATCATCTCATTTTTCCACCCATCCGTTCTTTTAATTTTTATATATTCTGTATTAATGATACACTCCGTCTGTTAAGTTCAAAGTATTTTGTTTACTTTACAATTTTATTTCTACAAAAAATATTGTTATCTATATTCAATATATTATAGAAAGAACAAATTTTACTATGGTACGTAAAGAGAAATTATAGACTGTTGTAGACAAACAAAAAATTGTATAAAAGCTATCTTTAATTTCTGTCAGTATGTACAAAAAATCCAAGACTGGCTCTAGTTTGTAATGGCGTAAGTACTGTATTGAAATTGTATCCACTCATGATTTAATTAGTGTAATACAAAGATTATATGCTTATGCTATATTTCACACTCAAGGTTTTTTTGTAACCGTTTTATTTCAAATATTGTATTGAAGTGAGAAAGATTCCCTCTGAAACATTGGGAATTTAAAAGACATAAACAAAACTGTACCGGTGTTTCAGCTCCAGTGTTCACATTTATATAAGTCGGTCCATCTCACAGATAAAATAAATAAAAGTACCATCCTCTAGATATAAGTATAACTGGTAACAAATTAACCCACATTGTTTCTTTTTTTTTTTCTTTTGGTTGAATCGCATTGTTGGGCTTCAGTCATTTGGCATATACCGACCATTTATGTGTGGACCTTAAAGAAAATATCGTATGGCGGTATGGGATAACTAACCGAGATAGGTTTAATGGGTGGTACAATTTTTGTCAACGATTTACATTGAATTGTTAAATTCCTCGAAAATGAACTTGAAAGAGAATAAAACAGATTAAAAAGGAATCAATGAAACAAAAAGCGAACAAAATCAATCCCAAATCATAACAATAGAGAGCAAAGTAGCACCGAGGAAAACAGCAAGAAACTTGTACATTGGCTTGTCGAAGTAACATTCCTCACGAGGCTTATACCCTTTTGAGATAAGGTGGTGAATCGCAACATACACGAAGACTCCACATGCAATGCTCATTGATATCGCGTAGGTCCAATCACCCGCGGCTCCTTGGCTAGTAGCATTGATGCCGATGCCAATCCCAACGCCTATAGGACTCGAAATCCCAAAGGCAAAGGAGTAGACAACTGTGAGGAAGAATGGTCGTTTAGGGATTAGCTTGAGGAGAGCTATTCCCATTGCTACCGCCGCAAAGATCTTGTGTAACGATATTGTCCATAGATTTCTCCATGCGTCGCTTTTAGTCTCTGTCCAATATATTTTCATCAGAGAACCATATAAGATTAAAAGAAGTTTTGGTTTCACACTTTTATATCTATATATTTATGTACATATCCACTGGATCATAGTCTATTACCATTGGAATTTGTAATCATGTTTCGTGGTATTCAGCTAGAATATGTTTATACTAGCTAACAATTTAAGACCACTCGATTATAAAAAGAATATGTATTTTGTTACAGTGTTTAACTAATTCAGGGATGAATATTGTTAACGTTTAAGTTTAAAGCTTGTAATATTACTAACACGTTCACATCACAAGAATTCGAAATATCTGAATGAATCTAAGTACAAATCAGAACACTAATAACAATTATAAATTCTATGCTATACTTAAGTCTGGTAGCAGCAAATGTACGGTTTACAAAAGTGTTCGTTGTTTAGTTTGCATTTACGTTTATATATAACATAAAATCACAAACGTAAACGCAAAAGACAACTAAAAGGTATACCAAAATCATGGACCAAAACCTAAATATACCAAATCGCATAAACATGAATGACACATTAGGGTTACTACGCCTATCCATCTAGAGTAACTACATATATCTTCTAAGTTGTTCAACAAGAAGCAAGTATATGTTCAAGTATTCATTACCAGAGACACCAATGGCGATTCCCTCGAAGACCGAGTGAAAACAAAGCGCAACAATCAGCAAAGCCGTGTCTCCAAATCCACTCGTCCGCAAAATCGTTTGATTCACATCAACACTACTTCCATTCTCACGACGGCCTTCTTCCTTCACCTCCACGTCATCATCCACCCTCAACTCTCCGGCGCTTCCAGACACGTTGTTATTTTTATTACTACTCCCAGCAGCTACAAACGCAACCACCACGTCTGCGAGCATGGTAAGGCAATATCCACCAACTGCTAACATGAATGCGTAAGGATACTCTCTATGTTTCAACCCTCGGAAAGTCTCGTTAGCATCGCTGAGGAAATGAATTAGAGCGGTGGCGAGGAATATACCGCCGGAGAATTGAGTTCCGAGGAGGAGAAACGACTCGTTCCACCGGTAAAAGTAAGGAGAAATACCCGCCAAGAATGTGCTAAAGAAGAGTATTATTAGACAATAGATCTTCACAAGCACTAAGCTCTTCGACCTGAGATCCACGGGGGTTGTTCCGGCGGCCGGAGGTGGTTGGTTAGCCGCCGCAGCCTCCTCCTCTTCGTCGTGGTTTGAGCCGCCGTGAGCTAGGATTAGGGAGAAACAAATGAAGAGAATAGAGAGGCAGAAGAGAGTTGACTTTAGGGTTTTGGAAGAGAAAGTCATCATATAGTTGTTCTTGTTTGTGGTGTACTTTTTCATCACATGAACATATATAGTGTATGTACTTTTGTGTTTGAAGTACAGTGTTGACTTTATTGTTAGAGATTTGCTGTGTCTAGTACAACGGTAAAGTCATTCTGAAGTTGTACTACAAAAGTAAGTAATACAATTATAAGTTAATAACTAATAGCCGGCGACCAAATAGCTGGTTCTTTGTGAAATGGCCTGTGTCGGATACAATCATTGTATATATACACAATTATTAGAATCAGAACGTTGACAAAAGAAATTAGTATTAAAATGATAGATTTTCTATTTTTGTCTTGTAAATAATGGAGGCTACATCCATATATATATATATGTGTGTGTTAGTTAATTGCAGACAGGGGCGGACACAAGATATTTTTTTTTTTTTTGTGGTATGTGGCATATATCAGGTTTTGGTTACTAATGTTGATTTTAAGTGAGATTAAGAGAAATTTCTTACTAACTACCATGGGAGAAAAATAATTTAGGGTGAGGCACATGCCACACCATCTTTAGCCCTAGATCCCACCCTCGATTGCAGATTGGGCGATACGTTGACGCTACCAAATTTCAACAAGATCGACAATTTAACATAACTTTCAAAGTTTCGTTTATATTGATTTTTTAAAAATTTGTTTATAAAATTGATAGAAAATGTCTGAATTCTGAAAATGTATTTAAGTTTCAAATTTTATACAGAATGTCAAACATATTTCGTTAGAAAATTGCAGTTAATACCAAAATTTTAAATGGATATTTTCATTCCGGTTCCTATGAGAGTCTTGAAATAAGAATGGTGAATATAACGTATCTTGTTTTCTGTCAGCATATATCTATATTTTTTCTTTAGTCGTTAATAAACAAATTCAACTAAGATTTTGCAACCATTCTTCTGGTAATTCTAAACCCATGTGCAAATACTGTGTGTCAAACTATCCGTCTTTATATTCTATATTCAGGGTACATGTATGAATTCTCAGAAATCAAAACTCTGCTTGACCATGTGAATATCTTCTAAATATGTTAGTAAAATTTCCAGCAACATTAAGTTCCGAATCATCGTAGTTCTGATTTTTGGATTTACGCAACCTTGCGTCGAGGAGTAACGTCCACAAAACCAACACATCTTGCAAAGAAACCGAAAAGAACTATTATAGACCGAGAGCGTGCCGTTCTTTGATTATCTAACAATTTTTATTCCTGAATATTTCTTTATCTATCAAATTATATAAGTTTATCCTCAAATATTCAGTTGGTGATGGAGTGCATGACGAATCCGAGCATAATGACAGCTATATCATAATACCAATATACATTTCATCTATAAAATATTAATAACTATATATTATATACATTAAATTAAGTAGACTCGATCACTTCTACACTATCGACAGAATTATACACGTAAATAATTTCATATGGACGTGGGATAATATTATAGTAGGAGTCTTCAAATTTGTTTGTTCTTTTTCTTCAAAATTTGTTCGTTCTTATTCCAATTATACATATCTTTTAACGCTGTAGGTTTCGATATTGGGTTTTATTTGAAAACTCTCTGCATGTGCCTATGTCAAGGAGTAACGTCCATAAAGCCAAGACATTTTATAAGAAATAGAAGGAAAATAAGTGTTTATATAGGTATAGTCCGATCCCCTGCCGTTGTAATCTATTACATTCTTAAATGTTGTAGGATAAATATTTAAATAATCACCTGATGATGGAGGGCATGACGAAACCGAGCATAAATGATAGCCCTCAATATAATGTAGATTTGTAGACGGTTTTTTTTTTGGTAAAATAGATTTGTAGACATTGAATAATAGATATGTTATCGTTACCCCTTTTAGTTTCCAAGAAGTTTTGGACCAGAAGAAATTAAATGGATGTTGTCTAAGCTGTCTCCTGGTCAGCTAGTACACCGGTTGAGCTATCCGTAAACTCGTTATCACAAATTAAAAACTCTTGTAATATACTCTTTGATGGTAACGAAAAAAATCTTTGTTGTCTCAGTTGGCAGGCATGAGTTGAAGAGGTAGTAAGCAAATAAAAATTTTGATTCTTTGGATCAAATCAGTTGCAATACATTCACTGATGCGTAGTCTGTTACATATGGCTAAAGTAGAAAGATCTAAAATGCTGAAATTATTCTTCTGTGTATTATTCTACGGTTAGGTCTCTGTATTTTGGAGGGTTATCTTTAGACACAAGCTCTTTACTTGACCTGATAAAGCTTGTTACTGAGATCCTGGTCCTTGTCAATTCACCAGTACCGTATACTCCACGCTTACAATTCGTTATCAGCTGCAAGATGTTTGGTGACTTGGTGTTTGATTAGAAGAAGATTGAGAAGCGACGGTTGGTCATTGGTTGTAGGACCGAACATGTTCTTTTTTTTTTTTGTGGATTCCTGACTGTATCTGATGATTACATAAATGATGTCTCTTTCACACACACACATTTAGTGACTTGTCCTAGTTAAGTTTTGATCTAAACAGTTTTGACCTGGTCAACCGTTCGGACCGATATAGAACGGCACGGTCGAGGTATGAATGAAAAGCTGACTTGAATTTGAATTCAAATTTGGCGACTTAACCATCAATTCTCATTTCTCACCTTGGCCCACTCTTAAAATCTCTCAGCATCCGAGGAAAAATAAAGCTTAAACGACAAGCATTCTTTTTACTTTCTCGGAAATCAAAACAGCCAAAATCTCGGGAGAACTTTCGAGGAAGACAAAAGCTAAAGCTAAACAAAAATATGAAAACTTGAATGATCATTAACACATTTTTGATGTAATGTAACATACTAAGAATCAATCGAATTTAAAAAAAATAACACAGTTCAATTCTTTCTTCTGAATACTTATTATATACACTCTTGAATGATGAACAAACAAACTCAGTGCAGAACTGAAGAATCTCTGTTACTTCTGTTTCTCCCAAAGTATCTCCTCAACACTGAATTCGACCGATCCATAACTCTAGATTCTACTTCAGTGTCTGAATTAGAATTAGACCCACGGTTTGGTCTCACTCTCCTCATCAAAGACACAACTCCACGAACCATCCTTCTCAACCTCCCACCCGACTCGGACCCACCACCGTTATTACCACTACCAGATTCAACTGCTCCGTTACCTCTAACCCAGGAGATCCGTCTAGGACCCTCTCCGTTACCACCAAGCCCACCACCATCCATCTCAGTCAACACCACAGGCAACACTCTCTCCCCATCTCTCATCGCGGCGTTAAACCTCCCCACCGCAAAACCTCCTCCAGGGAGTCTCCATATCGTCATCCCCACGGCATTATCCTCCTCATCCTCATTACTTCTCCTCCTGCTTGACTCCGAAGGTATCTCGAATCTGCATACAGGACACGAGTTCCTAATCGAAAGCCACGGCACAATACAGTCCTCGTGAAAAATATGCTTACACGGCATCTCCCGCGCCTCAGTCTCCTCCTCGAAAACCTCAGTACACACCGCGCAGTTCGCCTCCGCGGCTACATGACAATCCGAGATTTCCACTCTCGGCAAAGACTCAATCGCTGATTTCGAAGCTGGCGGGTTCCCGGATCTCCCGATTCCGAAACCCGCTATTTCGATCTGGCTTAACTGTTCGAGCAACCGCTCGAATCCGGATCCCATCAGGATCTCGGATACGGAATCCGGAAGAGGTCTAAGACCCGATCCGGATCCATCATCGTAGTAAAACTCGAAAGCGCCGCGACGAGAATCGCAGCGCTTTCTTCTTCTCCCTCGTTAGCGCCTCCTTGGAGGACGATAACAGGGTTGAAAGAGGGACGACGGTTAGATCTCCGCCGTCTAATCACGGATCTACGGATGGTGTTGGCCGATCTAGCTTCGGTGGACGCAGCTGGGGTTGCTGATTCTACGGTGTCGGAGGAGGAGTTAGCTTCTTCGATGAAACCGCCGTCGCAGAGTGGACAAGCGACGCCGTGTGTAGTGTCAGCCCAGACGCTGACGAATCGTGTGCAGCTGTAACACCAATACGACGTCGTGATTGGGGTTGTTGGTGGCGTTGACGGCATCTTTTTTGAAAATTCTGAGTCGGTTAGAGGATCTGAGTGAGAGGGAGAGAGTTAAATGAGAGAGAGGAGGAAAATGAAAACGTGGCTTTTAAGGCGGTCGTGGGAGCGGAGTTAACGGCGTTGGATTAAACGGTAAATAGACACGCGGTAAGTGTTGACTGGGTAGGAGATAGCGGAAGGTATTAACAGTCGTTATGTTTAAAGAAGGAACGTTCGAGGCGTGTGTAAGGTGTTTTGACCAAACGCTGAAACGTTTTATTTGAAGAAAAATTCAAAAGTAGCGCCGTGTCTGCTGTTTGTGGGCCTTATGTGGAACCCATTTGATCTCCGTTTTTTCTGGGAAAGCCCTGGTACGGCACCGTTTTCGGCCTGTGAATCACTGCAGAAGCAAAAGTGTGCTGACTGCTGAATGATTATAGCATTTTTTACTAATTAAATGTTTTCTTTTACATTTGTTAGTTACGTTAAACAATTTGTGAGGTGGAGGTTGGATAGTCTTTAGAAAATCAGATTCCTTACACGTTGATGGCTCAAATAAAATACATTACATAGACCAATTCGTATCAACATATGCTGCATTGACTAATTGATACTTGTATGTGTTGGATCAATTAATCAAGCCATTTGGGCTTCATATCTAATTGAAAAATTGTGAAAAGAAATGGCCCATTCAAGAGGCCTGTTTGTGTAATGAAATGAGTCATTAGTTTCTCCCACATCGGGGAAATGAAGTAGAGTTGAGTTGTATATATATGCACTCTCACTCTCACTTAATTAAAGAACTCAGAGGAAGAAAGAG